GTCACGGGGGCCGCTTGGAGAGGCTTGATCCTGCCTCAGGCAAGGGGAGGCCCCTCCAGCCCTGCCTCTCTCTGCGACCCCTGAGAACAAAAGGAAGGGGCGCCCAGGGGGAAGGTGGCGGGGCCAGTGTTCCCGTTGTGCCCAGTGCCGGAGTTAGGCCAAGCTCTGGTGCCAAAGGGCACCATAGGGCCCTTTCTCACCTCTCGTCTGTTCATGTCTCTCGGGGGAGTTTCACCGGGAGGCGTTTGAGGGGGGCTGGTGTGCTCTTTTCGGTGTCCCACCTCAGTGCACTCATTTTGAACCAATGCCCTTTCACTCCTGTCCTTGTTTTGTCTTTGAGTTGTCCCAAGCAATCAGTGATATGCCGTTAGTGGCCCCCATCCTGCAGGGGCTTTGGCCCACGCTCCAGAGTAGTGAATCAAAAGGCCGGGCCCCACCAAGTCCCAGGACTTCCTGGCACCCTAGCCAAGCTACCCATCTACCCGACCAGGAAGGACACTGGGGCTATTTTCTAGTCCCTGGTCTGTTCACCTCTCCAGCAGTTGCGCTGAGGAGCATTCACTGGCTCCTTGGCCTCATTTGATAGCCAGTGGGCACTGTCCAGCATGCTCTGCTGGGTGTCCCCCCTTGGTGCACTCGTTTTGGACCTATGACCCTCACTCCTGTCTGTTTTGTTTTTCCAAGCAATCAATGCCCTTAGTGGCCCCCATCCCAAACAGGGCTAAATTGGTGGGCTTTTGCCTACGTCACAGAATGGCATATCAAAAGGTCTGACTGCTGGATGACTCAGTAAGAAAACCCTCTGTAACAGGGGGCATTCTCGGGGCTGATTTTCCCATGGTCCGCCCACCCATTTCTGGGCTAACTGCCTGCCTTCTTGCCCGCCATGCCTTGTTGTTAATGAAGTGGGAGGCTGCCCATTTCCTGCCCCGATGCCAGGGGGCGCTATCTGTGGCTCCGTTCTTCCCTTACACCACAGCCCAAGCCTCGCAGATGGCATCCAGACGTTATCCAAATCACCAGCCCTGCACTGGGCCCCAGAATCCTACCAGTTGAACACCACTTAGATCTCTCCATTCAGGCAGCCTATTCTGCCTTCATCCCCAGCTGCATAGCCCCCTGAGCTGCTCCCCCTTACAGCTGCAGCCCCCCCAGGACCTTTGGCTACTAACCCTGGCCCACCTCCCGGCCACTCAGAACCGCAGCCGCGCAGCTCTCGGGTGTTCCTCACAGTGGGCCCCGGCCCTTTGACCCTTCTGGTCCTGGCCCCAGCATTGGCCAGTCAGGGGAAGTCCAGACAGGTGCGAGTCTATGGCCCCACACTCTTCCTCTCAGGTCCACCTTCCAGACCCTACAAAAGGGGTAACCCACCCATTTACAGGGGCTGGGGTTAAGGCACCCCAACCCATCTTTCACCAGGGTGATAACTGGCCTGGCATTTCCAGGGGGCTCCCACACCACTGAGCACCCCACCAGGCCACCCACTCCCCACAGGGTGCAGTTTTAGGCCCAGGCCCAGGAGCCTCCTGACCGTCCCCTACAGCTCCTCCCTTACCTCCAGATAATAACAGCAACCCTGCAGCTAAGTGATGTTGTTACCTGGCTTCCCAGTAGCAAAATGCCCTGTTTATATGGGCAGCCCTGAATCCAAAATGGCTGCCATCCTGCCTGCTGCTCTCTTCTGGCTCTTAAAGTGGCAGGCACAAGCAGTGCCCTGCCACAGCCCCGGATAAAACTGTGCTAAAAAGCAAAACGAGACATGGAGGGAGAGTACAAAAACAACAGCTACATATATAAAAGACCCTATTCAGGAGAGTGCAGGTGCTTGAATTTGGCAAACAAAACAAATTATGATAAACATCTTGACAGAAAGAGAAAAGGACATAAGACAGAGGGGGTGGGGAAGGGTTGCACAAGTATAAATACAGGATTTGGGAGACCTGCCTCTCATAGAGATCTAGGGAAGTGTGACTAACATAGGTTATCTCTTGTCTCAACATAGAATAAACTTCACCAAATTGGATCAACTGTTAATCAGACCAACTTGTGTGCTGTCCGATGACAATACATCTTTCTGAGCTTTCGTCATTGAACATATATCCGAGTTTTGTTTCTGTCTGAAAGGCGGCTTGCTAGCTTTGGCCTTGCAGAACAGACGGATTCCAGCAGTCTGTAGATCAAAAGCAACAGCAACCAGATACCACCTGAGAAAACACTCTGCACACATCAGAACAACAGTGGGCAGAGAAGCCTTTACAGGCACTGACGAAGGCAAGTACAGCTTGCCATTTACCCAATGCTCATGGCTGTAGTTCTCAACTGTTTTAGACTCGGGGCACCCCTTGATCAACTCAAGGCCAACTCAAACCCTGTCAATAGAACAAAGGCCAGCCTCAGAAAATGCCAGCTCTTTGGTTTCACTTGTTTTTTACTACAAAAAATACTCGAGACATTCTTCTGCTGCAAAAAAATCAGAAAGACCACAGCAGATCAGAAGGCTCTTGACAATGGATTCCCATTGGAAATCTCTAGTTTATCCTGTGAATCACATTATGCACCTGCCAGTGCTAATATTATGTGGCACCCCTGAAAGGATCTCACTATCCCCTGGTTGAGAATCACTGGTGTGGGAGGAACAATTCTACAGATAAGAGGCAGGAAGGACCTGAGTGATCTGGCAGGCCTTCATCATTGCTTTCAAAAAGAAAGGTGGTGCCCAGGTGAAGACTCGTCAGAGGAAGGTTGTGGGCAGAGAAGCCTTCCAAAGCACTCATGAAGGCAGTTTGTGGGAGTGCTGGCCCTTACGAAATGTTTATGGCAGTGGCTCTCAACTATTTTAGACATTGGGCACCCCTAGATAGACCTGAGGCCTTCCTCAGTAGATCCAAGGCCTCCTTGGAAAATGTCAGCCCTTTTGTTTTCACTTAATTTTTGACTACAGAAAAATAAATACTAGACCAAGTCTTCTGTTGCAAAGAAGGACCACAGCAGCTCAGAATGCTCTTGACACTGTGGATTCCTGTTGGAAATCTCTCTCAATTCCTGGTTGAGAATCACTGGTGTAGGAGAAGGGATTTCACAGCTGAGAGATGGAAAGGAACTGGGTTATTTGGAAGATCTTGACCAATTTTTTAAAGAAAAAACATGGTGCCCATTTGAAAGCTCAGAGAAGAGACAAATATTATGAGCAGAGAAACCTTTAGAACAGGCTTGTCCAATATATGGCCTGCAGGCCACCATGCAGCCCTCCAAGCTGTTTTCTGAGGCCCGAGGTGCTGCAACGGGAAACAAAAGTAAACATTGTACTTTCATTTTGGGGGTGGGGTGATGTGATACCACTTCCTCTGAGGTCTTTGAATATGGCTTGCTGGCCCACTGGGTGATAAAAAGTTCATGATCCAGCCCCACATTCAAAAAGGTTGGACACCCCTGCTTTAGAGGCACCGATAAAGGCACTTTATAGCACAGCTGTCTCATGTAGCAAATGTTTATGGCCATCCTGTCAGTGGGGTCTGCATGTTTGTTTACCACGTACAGAATGGAAATGAGAATGAAAATTAATGCATGTAGCTCTCTGAGCCCTTTACAGGAGAGTCCAGTATCATTATCCAGGCTTTGCAGCCAGGGAAATCTCTGGGGGAGATGAAGGGGTCCCAAGGTCATGCAACTTTACTTGGATGGACTAACTGTATTAAGTATCATTATATTTTTTTCTTATTTAAATTGTGATATCATCTCAAGGCTTTGATTGGGATCTTGGCCCCAGTGCTATGCACTGTATATACAAACAGTAAAAAAAGAAAATCTCTTTTCCCTGCAGGCCAGATCTATGATGACAGACAAGAGGTGAAGATGAACGAATTGCGGGTGAGGCCAAGGTAATGGTGAAACATGTAGGCTCCTGCAGTTATACATGTGCTTACAAGTGTGATTAATCCTGCTAAAATCTACAAGATTACTCTTATACTTGAAGTTCAGCAGCTCCATGATGCTTCTCAGGATCAGAGCTGCAGAGGCTGAACTCAGAATCATAGAATCATAGAAGCAGGGTTGGAAGGGACCTTGTAGATCTTCAAGTCCGACCCCCTGCCTGGGCAGGAGGGAAACTGGGCTCAAATGACCCCAGCCAGGTAGGCATTGAGCCGCTTCTTAAAGACCCCCAGGGTAAGAGCCAGCACCACTTCCCTTGGAAGTTGGTTCCAGATCCTAGCCGCCCTAACTGTGAAGTAGTTCTTACGGATGTCTAATCTAAACCTACTCTCCAACAACTTGTGGCCGTTATTCCTTGTTATCCCGGGGGGCGCTAGGGGAAACAAGGTCTCCCCCAAACCCTTCTGGTCCCCACTAGTGAGTTTATAGACGGTCACAAGGTCCCCCCTCAGCCTTCTCTTGTGAAGGCTGAACAGGTTCAGGTCCCGTAGCCTCTCATTGTAGGGTCTGCCCTGCTGTCCCTGGATCATGCGGGTGGCCCTCCTCTGGACCCTCTCAATGTTGTCCACATCCCTCTTGAAGTGCGGTGCCCAGAACTGGACACATTACTCCAGCTGTGGCCTGACCAGTGTTGCGTAGAGGGGGAGGATCACCTCCTTGGCCCTACTTGAGATGCACCTGTGGATGCACGATAAGGTCCGGTTAGCCCTGCCGATCGTGACCTCGTACTGTCAGTCCATGTTCATCTTGGAGTCAATAATGACTCCAATATCCCTTTCTGCCTCCGTGCTCTCAAGAAGGGAGTTTCCCATCTTATAAGTGTGCTGCTGGTTACTACAGCCCAAGTGCAGCACCCTGCACTTGTCAGTATTG